ATCACGATCGCAAACCGCTTATTTTTAAAAGACTTTTTTTTAAGAGATAACATGATAAAATTATTAGACATGATTCTGAGCATCTGAAATGGAATTATAAGGATATCGTTAGGGTGTCATTTTTTTTATAACGAGAAAACGTCAGTAATCGCGATAATTTAAAAACTCAACTTTTTAACACATAACAGGCCATAATTCAAAAACCACTTTAGATATTGAAACTTTTTTTTATTTTTAAGATCGGATATTTTACAATATGTTTACATAAGAAAAATTCGATAAGGTTGTTTTTTCCATTCAAAAATTGTAAACAATCCATCCATTTACTTTTAGAGCATAGCAATTTTCAGCAGTCGTGTAATTTTTTTATTGATAAAGATTTTCACATACTGTCTACAAAGAAAATACAGCAGAAATATTAACAAAGTTCTTGAAAAAACGACAATCTATTATTTCTAATAGATTTCGAGATATCGATTTTTGAATTCAGAGTTCTAATAACGTGACCACTATGGAACACCCACTCAATTCCACTTATTTTTACCAAAAATGCAAGTGTTTCTAGCTGCACTTAAAAAAATTCAAGCTATAGGGAAAATTACAACGACTCGTTAATAAATAAACAAATTAAGTATGACGAGACGTAATTAAATCGTGAAGCTGAACGCATGACGTACACCTTTCCCTAGAACTTTAAGCACTGACAGAGGTATTGATTGGGTCAACTGCGACAAATCTGCTATATCCCCTTCCACGTCTCTTCGCGATGTGCAGTTTCTCGGTTTATTTAAGTCTCCCTGTATAAAAGTGTACAATACAAATAATAACAAACAAGAGTTTTTTCAAAGAGTCAAATAAGGGTTTTTCGAGATATCACGGCAGATAATATAGACTCATCATAAAACACAGAGTCAAAGAGTTAAAAAGTACCTGCTTTATATTATAACATGAGAACAATAGCAATCATATTAATACCACAGATCCACCGGAAGTTAAGTTGACCATACTAAAACCCCTTCGCGATGTCGCAAAGTTTGTTTATTATTATATTCCACCTTTAATTTTCTTATCCATTGTCTGCTGTGCAGAGACTTTTATTCAAGATAAAATGTTTTGAAAAACTTAAAACAGTTTTATCTAGTTTGTGCTCAAACTTCTTAAATACATTTTATAATGAACTATAACAATGTGTTTGTGTAAGTTCTATACTCTCTCGCTAAAGTTACTGTAGCTAGAAATTAAATATCTTATTGTTAGAAGTTGTTTGAGAACTATATAAGGAGTTTCGTGTTATTTGTGGTATGAAGTTAATGCAGTATGTTGTTTGTTATGAAATCTGCGTATATAGACTATTTGAGAAGATACCTGAATAATATCATATTGCCACATAAATATATCAATAACATATATCAAATAAATATCATATTGCCAAGGTGTCAAATTTGCCTAACTTTACATACTACATAAACTTTATGGTTCTTTAGATATCAACACTAAATTTTTGCTTTCGGTTATCCGAAATTAGTTGGATATATGAACATGTATACAGGGTGGTGCATCGTTGTTGGAAACATAGGAACTTTTGAACTGAAAGGAAATTTTGAACTGTTCAGATATTGGCTCCCCTGTTAATTTTAAAGCTAAGTTGTGTTTAAGGAGTCTTGGAAAATATATTTGATCGCCTAATGTTTTTAGTGTCTTCTTCTGGCCGGTTAAAAGATGCCCAAATCGTATTTTTAATCATATTTCAACTTTTTCAAATAGAACGAGGGTGGCTCATTAGCATATTTGGAAAAAGCATTTTCTACATGTAATTTGGTACCACACACTTGATATTTCGAGTTAAATTGTCGTTATGAATAGCCTGTTGCCATTTCAAATAAACCATATTCGAAAATGACAAAGGTTGATGTATGACATGTCATTTTATCCAGAGGGTCATTTTCTATCGAATAAAGTAACAAAATAGCGAGAGTGCCATTTAAATATCCAAAGTTGTAGTCATTTTCGGTGAAACAGGTGAAACAAGTTACCGAAAACAATTGAATACGTCAATCAATCCTAATTTATGTCATATACTAACATACCAAATCTTGATTTTTTTTAGTGTTGGGAAAAATCGGATGAATTCAATCCTCGAGTATTGATCCTCGAGGATTTCAATAATCGGATGATTATCCGAGAAATCCTCTGTCATAAAATTTTCTCTGTATAATATCTCGATCGAAACCAGAATAATACTCGCCGCTGGGTGTGAGTGATTTTGCTTGCTGTTTTTAACACACTATTGCCATGTACTTGAATGACTTAAATAATATTGTAATAAAAATAAATACTAATTATTTTAAACACTTTTTTAATAATTTTTAATATGTTCGTGTATAATTTCATGTGGGAAATAAAATTTTCATAGGTTTTGCTTTAAATTGTGCTGATTTTGTTTCTAACTCCGACTTTGAGGCTAACCTGGAAACCGTTCAGCACACTTTCAGGCCAAATGAAACCAAGTAATTCTAGGAAATACGTGCGACTTTTTAAAAAGGGCTCGTTATTTATTATTTATTTGTCGGCGGTCGGTCATTGAGATAAAAAATATATTTTGTTTTACTTTTTAATAGCGTACTTTCACCGAAAATAACCTGTAGTACCTAATAAATTGTAGTAGTATTGTGTTATTGTGCATATTTTAAGTTTTTGTGCGACATAATATACAGTTTTAAACATAAATTTACTGTATTGTTTGGGCACAGCTTAACTAATAGTCGAAAAAAAATTGTTAATAATGATTGTTTCGGATTTTCAACCTCTTTCTCTTGTGAACCCTCATAATAGAAAAATATTAACTAATAAAATTTTACTTAACGCCGAGCTTAAGGCTTACAACGAGTCAGCTGTAGCTTTAAAAACTGTTTGAAAAAAATGAAATAAAATATACAGCAATATTGTTATTGTTCTTGTTGGCAAATTCCGCAAATCATTGACTTTATATCTACGTTCCATCACACTAAATTTCGATTATACTTTCATCAGAATATAGTCTCCCAACGTAGAACTACAAGCAAAGGTTTTTTTTACAAGAAAACACGTAAATTGAAAATTAAAAATGCAATTAAAGCAAAATCTCGCCTTAACCCAAATAAATAACTGTGGTTTTGTCAAATGGAATTTTGAAGTCGAAAACTGACCTATTATGAATTTTCAAATGTTTCAATTCTGAATTGTTACACAGAAAAAACAACATTTTATTATTATATCAATGGTTAAAAAACTATAAATCTTAAAATATAAAGTATGGAGAAAAAATCTTAATAATTTAAATAAATATTATAATTAATATATCCCATCTAAACATCTAAACAAAACAAAAATAAGTAATGTATTTCTGTTCAAAAATGCAGGTTACTACTCTGAAAACCGACTATTATTGTGAGCGATATGCGAGCAAGTGATTAAACGGTTATCCTCTGTCCTCTATATAAAAGGTTTCAGTATAAATCGTAAAATCGCCTGTATCGTAGCGAGCAGCGAGGACGGTACGCTACACCCGATGTTAGTTGCGTGCCAGGTAATGCTCGGGAATCAACAAAAAAAGGTTTCAGCATAGATCGTAAATCGCCTGTATCGTCGCGAGCAGCGAGGACGGTACACTACACCCGATGTTAGTGGCGTGCCGAGTAATCCTCGAGGATCGACAAAAATACTCGAGACATACCGAGGATATGAATACTCGGATGACCGAGTATTTTTCACTTGAGTAATCCCATCACTAGATTTTTTATCTAAAAAAATAAAAAAAATTATAGGGGTGAGCCACATTTGAGATTCACCCGGTATGCTACGCACTAGTTATCCTTGATTGTTTTTGAGTAATCCGCGTCTCATCACCTGTCTCGCCTGTTCTCATGCATATGGTGACAGTCAGAGTACTAGTCTCGATACTTTTTTTTAAACGACCTTTCAAGGATCGCAGAATCCGATTGTTATGCAATATAAGGGAATATCTAGGTAGGTATGCAGAGTTCAATGCAAATAATCATAAGTCGTTAGGTTGGTTATGAACAATTATTGTGCAACCTCAGCTCAGAATCCGACTTATTGCATAATATTTGCATATTATTGCATATATTTTTATTGCATAATGCCTCCGAAGTAATGGTCACCTACCCCAGTATCCTTCAGGCAGAAATCTACGCTATCGAAAGATGCGTATAATTTATCTTAGATAGGAACTATCGAAAGGAGGAAATAACCATCTTATCTGATAGTCAAGCAGCACTAAAAGCGATCAGCTCAGTAACCATAAATTCAAAGTTGGTCAAAGAATGCCTAGAGAAGCTGACTAAACTAGGCAAAGAAAATAACGGATAGAAGGCAATGAAAAAATGATCTAGCTAGAAAAGGAGCGAACACTCTACTAACTGGACCAGAGCCGTTCTTCTTGCCAAGCGGAAACCAACTTAAAACGGAACTAAAAAACCTGGAGGACTCCATCTATGGGAATCCGCCCACGGTCTATCCACTAACGGTCTAAGACACTGGAAAAAGTTCTTTAGAATTTACGACCGAGAAAAAACAAAGATTTTCCTTGATTTAAATACAAACAATCTTCGAATTGCCACTGTCTCCTCAACGAACAGCTCAGTACATTAAAGCTGAGAAACAACGGAGAATGCAGTTTCTGTGGGGAAAATGAGGAAACACACTTTATCACTGAGTGCGCCGGGACGACAACCGTTCGTGCCATAAACTTTGGTAGATGGAGAGTTCGCCTCTGTGGAGCAGTCTCAGTTACTGGCTTTTGTCAAAGCACTGCGACTGTATAATGGGTTATAACCTGTTATAACTTAAGAAAGTGGAACACAAAATAGATATGTAAGATCGCGGTGATTAACCCCCCTCCTAAAAATTCTAAATTCTAGATACCATAATTGGCTGGCTGGTACTGAACAGCCTGTATTACTATTAATTAAACTGCTATTTCATTTTTAGACTTAACATACCTGGAGTTACGCTTTTTTTCCAGCATCATTAACTGATTTTCTCCATTTGAGTCCAACGAAACGTCACTGCCCGCTCTCGACATCGGAGCCGAATCGACATCGGAATTTCTCGAACTTCTACCGGACTCCGCTGCTCTAATCAACGATGCCGTTTCATCTTCTGTATCGCTCCCTTTGGGAGGCCTCTGTTTACCGAATTTAATTAAACTCTGTAATAAAAAGTGTATGTTAACCCTACATGCTTTTAACTTCCATCAATCGTCGGCATATTGCCATTAAATCTAATTTGATTTTTGTTACTTTAAAGTAGCTTGGGGAAAATCAACTAACTACTGTTTTCAGAAATTTTCCATCGATTTTTTGTTAAAATTGATTGAATTCCTCCGAATTTAATTAACTTTACATGATTCTATCAATCGTAGGAATATACGATATACGATTCTATCAATCGTAGGAATATTGTTTTTAAATCTAATTTGATTTCGTTATTTTAAAGTAACTAGGTGAAATATCAAGATAGAATAATTTGTTTTCAGTATTTTTTCATTCGATTTTTTTGTTAGTATTGGTTTCTCACTGAGATTTTGAAACTCGGTAACAATGTCAATCGATTTATCTATATATACAGGCTGTCCCAGGCTAAGCGTGCATTAGAGGTTTCTAGAGAGATTTCACAACGAGATCTAAAAAATATTTTCAATATGGCAGCACTTCCGGGAATACCGGAAGTTGACAATGACTTTCTTATTTTAAATCGGTACCCTCATTATTTAACACATACATACTTAAATTCTCTCAAAAATTTTATAAATTTTGATACCAAACACTCTTTACTTTAACAATAACCGTTTCTGAGAAAAAAAAATATTTAAAATTTTTGAAGGAAAAAAAGTGCCTGTCAAAAAATTTGTATTGTCTAAATGTCAAATTTACTAATAACTACAGCCATTGTGACATAAAGAGAAGACATGGCGTCTATCTATTTCAAAAATTAAATTATTCGAATGTCGAATAGTATTGTGTATTGGCCGTAGCCGTGTTTCAGATTTTTGAAAAACTTCATGGCTTACTAGATATTTCGAAAAAAAAAATCGGCCATTTAGAAAATTGTCCCTAATTCTATTATAAGCTATTTTATAGACATAAAGTTTTCAGATAAAAGTAGATAATCACATCCTTAATGAGATTTTGTCCGTTTTTTTCTAAAGCCTGTCATTTTTGACATACAATACAATCACACACACATGGATACAAATATATGTTTTTTTTTTAATGGAAACCATAGTTGACCATGACTTGATAAAAAGCGCCATTTTTTAAGCTTTTCAGCGATATAAGCTATAATATTTTTTTTTTCGAAAAATTACTGAGTTATAGCCAATTCTTACACTTTTAAAACAATTACTATCATCTATTATCACTTAGTTAGCCATGGAAACAAGCTCAATCGTCGTTGCTCTCAGAAATGTGAAACTGTCACATCCAAACTTTGTAAATTAAAATAAACGAAAATTGTAAATATAATATTAGTTCAATTTTCCTTGGTTATACATTTTCGGGGATACGTTGACCGATGAACGTTACTTCCGTTTTTTAGAAAACGGGTTTCAGAACATGTTAGAAAAGTTAAATTTAGATACTCGCGCATCAATAAAGTGGTTCCAACGTGACTTTCATTATGACACTCCCACTCATAATGAAAGAATAAAAGAAATGTTAAAAACTATTTATATCATAATTATGCAAACTCACGGATAGGAAGAGGTGGACCAATTGCATGTGCCTCCTCGATCATCTGAACTATCCATTTTAGATTTTTTATACGGTATGGTTAACAACAGGGTTTTCAAAAGAGTGTTTACAGAAGAACTTATGAATTAAAAGAGACACTCGAAGAGGCGGTACGGGAGAAGTTTAATTTAGTCGACTGGTCGTTCTGTGAGAATAGCTAATAATTCAGTTTTAAAAAGATGCATTCATGTACTCAAAAGAATGGAGGATTTTTTGAACATTTTCTAAAATGTTACTTAAAGTGTATGTAGTGATACTATTTTAAGTTTTAGTTTGTTTAATGTAAATTGTAAAGTTACGTTTAATAATATATTCTGTCTTTTTATAAGTTATACATCATAACAGAATAAGAATACCATACCAACTAAGTGAAATTAGTCAAGAAAGATAAAATTGGCTATAACTCAGTAATTTTTCAAAAAAAAAACATATTGTAGCTTATATCGCCAAAAAGCTTAAAAAATGGCTCTTTTTATGAAGTCATGGTCAACTATGGTTTCCATTTTAAAAAAAAAACATATTTTGTGTCATATGTCAAAAATGACAGGTTTTAGAAAAAAAAAACGGAGAACACAATCTCATTAAAGATGTGATTATCTACAACTTTTATCTGAAAACTTTTTGTATATAAAATAGATTATAATGGAATAATGGACAATTTTTAAAATAGCCGAAATTTGTTTTTTTTCGAATTATCTAGTAAGCCATGAACTTTCTCAAAAATCTGGAAGGCGTATATTTATGACCCCACAAAACTGCAATTCTTTCCCCATTTAATCGACTCTCTACCTCCAGTGGTTTCCGAGAAACCCATAGAGAACATCGTAGGAAACTCACCATCTATATATCTCTTATACCCGATGGACAAATTGCAAGGCCCTGTATAATTGGCTGTTTCCCAATGAAAAAAAATCTAGAATCTTTCTTATCACATCAACTACAATTAGTTCAGCAAAAGAGATAGGAAAGCTCGAAGTAAGATTTTATTTCTAGTCGCTGCGCGCTGTGACGCCATTTTCATCATTTTCAAATACGTGTTTTCCCTCACCTCAAATCCCCTACCAGAATTCAATTACCTTGACACTTTTAAGCGTGGATCTTTTCCTCTCGGTGACAACTTTATCCGGCGTGGCGATCGTCGTGCCCCTTCTCAGGGTAAACCGTCTTTCCGACGACGTCATAACCGCCTTTTCCGCGAGCAGCTGTTCGGATAAGAGGTTCCGCTCGATATTGGCGATGTTCTGTTCGATGTCTATCAGCACCTGTTGATCGTCTTCGAGCAGATCGTAAGCGGAACTCCCGGCGAAGGATGCCAGAGATGCGTCGGGAAGTGAGTAAAGCACCGTGAATTCTACCGTACCCTGAAAATTAAAGATATATAATGAAAATTTAATTAATGAATTTAAATCAGTTTAAACGTCTATTTGTATTAACCAATACTTAAGCTTCATTCAGGACATCGCAATTAGCAGAATAAATTAGTAGTTTCAATAATTAGCGTAGTTTGTTCATTTAATATCAGTATAAGGCATACAGAACGTCAACATTGGTGGCAGACATTTTCAATTAGTAGAAAAAGTTATGAAATTTTTTACTTTTCCACTAATTACGCTTAAAAATTTGCGAGAAATGTCATTTCGGCCTTTGAATATCTTCCGTTAAGGGAAATTGTAGTTAGAAACACAAAGTTTATTGTTTTATAAACCTAAATATTAGGCTTTCTCTATGGATACAACTGACTAACGCAAACTGTGTTGCTAGGATATTCTATTTAATTTGTTTTATAAGTTTTTTTAAATATTGTAAATGATCGTAAACTAAAAGGTATAGAGTGTAATTGAAACCACTAATTTATTCTCCTAATTGCGAGTTTTTGAATAAAGCTTAAAGCTTCATTCAGAACCTCAAAATTAGTGGAATAAATCAATGGTTTCAATTAGCGTAGAGGTTTGTTCCTCTAATATCAATGTAAGAATTTAGAACGTCAAAATTAGTGGTAGTAATCTTCAATTAGCGGAAAAAGTTAACAAATTTTTAACTTTTTCACTAATTATACTTCAAAATTTGCGAGGAATGTGATTTTGGCCTTTGATTATCATCCGTCAAGAGAAATTGTGGTTAGAAATCAAAAGATTATTGTTTTATAAGCTAAATATTAGGCTTTCTGTGGGATAATATTAGCACAGATATTAGGCTTTCTGTATGGATCCAACTGACCACCGCAAACTATAGCTAGGATATTCTATTCATTTTAATTGCGTTTTTTAGACATTATGAATGATCGTAAACTAAAAAGTATATAGTGTAACTGAAACTACTAATTTATTTCACTAATTGCGAGGTTGTGAATGAAGCTTAAGTGTGTATATATTGATTTTATAAGTAAACACACACACACACACACACACACACATACACACGCACTGCTTCTTTTAAGAAACAAAACTGATTTCAAAATTCTAGATTAGATTACATTTTATAAGGTGGGTAATTTAGTTCAGTAAATAAAGGTTGGCTTAATTCGCCGACCGGGAGTTTTCAGCCGGATTGTGTGCCTTTTGGGGAGTAGTTTTAGGCGAAAAATTGTATCATCGTGCTCGGCCTAGAAAAAATGGCCGAAAATTCAGTTTTCCCAAATATTTGCCAAAATATGGAATTTACAAAATTTTTCTTAGAATAAAAAATAAAGTTTAGGTATAAAAATAGTCGTTGAAAATTTTTTACGTAGAATTAGTAACTTTCGAGATATTACGCCTCGAAGAACCTGAATTTTCTCTCCAAATCTTAACAGTCCGGAAATAGATTTCATAAGCGCATCATTGATAGGACCATTATTAATATTCTTTGATGATTCAAAGTTCATTTAAAACGTAGAATCAACAGCTATCACATTTTGGAACTAAAAAACCGGGCAAACATTCCTTAACCCAAAAATTTTCAGATTTTTACAAACTTATTCATATTTTTATTAACAATAGCTTATTTGTCAAAAATTTTTTGTGCGGGTGCCAGATATCACAAGAGTTGCAGCCCTTAGACCAACAAGGGGCGTAGGATGGATGGGCGTAGGATGGATGGGCGTAGGATGGGCGTAGGATGGGCGTAGTATGGGCGTAGGTAGTCTCTTGGATGCTTATATTTCTGAGGATATTTCAACAAATGGTGAAGGTAGTCTATTATATCTGGGAAAATGGACAAGAACAATATACTCTGAAAGCAGGTAATATTGCAGGTAATTTTGAATTTTTATCATTGATTTCCAACTCCTCATTGATGTTTGTTACCTATAAAGTTATTATGCAATTATCTTTCAACTATACTTTCGCAGATTTACATAACCCTTATTAATTCGAAGCACGAATATGCACAATATTTTATTCCGTAATATTTATCATTTTATTAAGTAAGACAAGTTAGATAATACTGCGTTCTGAAGTTTTGAATATTCTGTGCCTTAATGGAATAGTATGAAATATGGGCAATTCAAGGTATTTTACCGGTTCTCAAATCATAATATTCTTAGGTTTATAACTTTTACCACAGTTTAAAGAATTATAATTCTTTAAACTATGCGTTTATTATTTATTATATATTAAAATTATGATAATTTATTTTATATGATATATTTTAAAATGCTACGAAATTCATAAGAAGAATAATTTAAATCAATTCTTGAATTATATTATTACAAACGAAATTTATAAAGCGGAAGTACTTTTTAATTACTACACTATTACACTAAAATTACTTATTCTTCTTCAGGCGCTTCTCAAAGAAGATTGGCGATAATTACAGATAATTTACCTCGTCTTTTTGCTGTTCTGACAAGCGTTTATGAATATTAAATTCTGGTCATTCTCTTACATTTTTCTGTAATTTTATTTTTGATGATAAGGTGTAGTATTTGTAGTAGACTGGCATGCATCTGCATCACAGGTGTCATGAGAATATGCCCAGCAGCAGCAATGGAGGTTATTCTAGACCTAATACCACTGCACCTTGTCGTCGGTAGATATGTCAATGCGACAATAATTAGAATGGTCATTGACGGAAACAGTATTGGGAAAATTCTTAGGTCAGGGGCTTGGAACACCCTCCAAAAGAAAAATCAACCCCTCCAACTCCCAATGGATGTATAACTTTGAGAAACACCTCACTGTAGTATTTAGCAATAAAAAGGATTGTACAATAGAAATGTTTTCTCAGCATGTAAAAGGCCGTACTAACGATAGGAGTATTTGGGCCTCAAACTAAATACTCCGAACCAATGGGCACTTACCCCAACATTCTTCAGGGAGAAATCTACGCTACCAAAAGATGAGTACAATTTATCTTAGATAAACAGGAACTATCGAAAACCGGAAATAGCTGTTTTATCCGATAGTCAAGCAGCTCTAAAAGCGATCAACTCAGTAACTATTACTTCGAAGTTGGTTAAAGAATGCGTAGAGAATCTGAACAAATTAGATAAAAAAAATACAGTCCTTCTACTCTGTGTACCCGCTCATCAAGGAATAGAAGACAACGAAAAAGCAAACGATATAGCTAGAAAAGGAGTGAACACTCCCCCACTAACAGAACCAGAACCGTTCTGCTTTCCAAGCGGAAATCAATAGCTTTGTTCGGTTTTTTTCTTGAACCTTCCTAGAACGGTGATACGCATGCGCAGAAGAAAATTTGCGTTCGGGTTCGATGAACTGTTTTTCTCATGAACTTCTCTCATGAACTGTTTTTGGACCTTTTTTGGATTCTCAATTAGATCAAGTTAGATGTTCGGGTTATAACGCGGACGGTTCTAGGACTAGAAAAAACAGTTCAAATTTGATCCTAGCTTGTCAGCAAGAATCGTTTTTGGACCATTTTTGTACTTTTCTTTCTAACCTAAAAAGATTTATGTTTTACGTTTTTTTTTTACTATCCAGGATATTTATTGCAAGAAAATACAGCAAATTGACTTTCAAGATGATATTTTTCAAGAGGATATTGAATTATTGTAATAAGTTTTACAAATATTAATAGAGTACTTTTGTAATATTTAAATATCATAATGTATCTGCAGGTAGGTGGGTATTGTTTTTTTAAACGATTAATAACTCATAAATAATTATTAATTTTCAGCAAGAAAAGTGTATTTTTTCAATAAATACTCAGCACTGCCATAATTCTGAATTGATACCTGTAGCCAATAATCTTATACTTCTAAAATATAGTACCTAACATGTATCTAATTAAGAAGACAATTTGAACATGGTGAATTAATAATTCTGCTTTATTTTGTAAGTGAATATTGTTACTATTTTGATATTTAAAATATTACTTTATTTAGTTATAGTTAACATAGCAGTAGTATGTGAAATATATAACATTTGTCCTTGTATAACAGAGATAAAATAAATAAATTATACATATTTATTCATTATTTTAGATGGACAATACATACATATTATAACAAGAACCTATGACTACCTGAACCTAGGACTTTGATTGAAATTGAAAAAAATAGGTACCTCATCTACAAATCAGTATTGTAATAATACTTATTGTTCTATTGAAAAATGTGCCTGAACTACCCTTACGAAACCAGATTAACCAAGAAGAGCTAAATTATTTTATTATTATAAGTAATATTTCTGAAAATGATCTTGTAGAGAGGGATACATTACAAATTTACTATAGTGATGTAGTATGTATATATATATATATATATATATATATATATATATATATATATATATATATATATATATATATATATATATATATATATATATATATATATATATATATATATATATATATATATTTATTATTTATTTCATATTTATCATTCTAACCTAACCTAACACAAATTAATTTGTTTTTAACATAAAATTTTATTAAAGTGTTTCAGTTATAACAATTAGCAATTAAAGCTCTATGGAAGTCAATTTAACTTATTTTTAAGATTCTTGAGGGTTAGAAATGTAACAAAATAAAAATAGTTAACACAAAATTGATAATTTTTATTAACTAAATTAATAAACACTTATGACCATAATGATTTTTTTGTAGTTATCTAGCATATCATTTAAATATTTTTCTATTACTAGAATGTCTTCAATATTAGGCTTCTTATGTTAATTATAGAATAATGAGGCAAAATTCATCTGTTCTAAATTATATCCTGTAAAACTTTGTTCATAATTTTGGTTTCTATTTTCTGTTCAAGGCTGTAGTGCAAAACTATATATTATATTAAACATTTATCATTTTCCACTGATTCCACAATTTGATTTGGATTGAATACGAACAATTTTGTTTTTATTATTCCCAGGTATTCTTTAAATATCCTTCGGCAATTATTGGCATATCTAAAAAGAAA